CTTATAATTCATAAAGCTAAAAAAAAAAAAAGAAAAATATTTTGGAGTTTGTATTAAATTCATGACATAAATATTCATGAAATAACAATAATTTCCTTGTACATTTTTTTACTAACGGACTTAACAGTTAAAAAATATACAATGTAATTGGTGTAAGGAAATGCTAGAAAACTATTAAAAGCTATGGAATTGACAAATTTTTTTAAAATTATTTATTTAAAAAAAAAACTTAGAAAATTAATTGGAAAAATTTAAAAAGTGGAAAACCTGTTTCAAAAAAGTATTCTACTGTATATTGAATATTCAGGGACTTTATGATATTCTATATAAAATAGATCTGAAAATGTAGCTTATTATAAAAATAATAAAATACATTTAAAAGTGCATGGTTTTGATCATAAATAAATATGAAAAAGGTCAATCATTTTTATGATGAAAAGTTTTATTCGATATTATTACGCACTATTTTTATCAGTAACGATTTTTTAAGGAGAAACTGAAAAATAAACAACTACCCTGCAATTTTTGCTATTAATTAATATAATTTTTTAGTAGCTTTTCACTTTTTTTTTCCATTTTTAAATTTTCAATCAATTTTTGATATGTAAGTTTCCAAATTATTCTGAAAATATTTCACTTCTTTTTGAAAAAAATTCTAAACAGTAAGGAAATGTTCTACATACATTCCCGATGACAAAATTACGACAAAAATAAAGATTTTTTTATTTTGCTTGATCAAACTTAGTGCTTTTTGATTAGTAAATTAAATATTGTACAGTGAACAATAAACCGAAATCAAAATAAAGTAAATTTAAAGAAATAAACTGTTTACTGTTGAATAATAGTGCTAGAAAAATGGTGATTTTAATTTCGAATTTATTAAAAAGTAAGAACAATTTTAAAGGATCAATAGCATAAGTTGCAAAATAAAATCGAATTTTATATTTATCTTTCGCCAATGTATGAATTTTATTTCGATACAAAATAATAAAAAAATGTGAAGAACATGTGAGTGTGAATCAGATATCAACGTATTTAATTTTTTCGAAAAGTACCAGAAAAAGATTAATTTTCAGGTACTAGGTGATTACGCGTGATCTATAGTCCTGTTCCTTTAGTACGAGGAACATCATAAACGTAAGGAGTAAATGTTATACTCTTTTTTAGTAACTCAAGGTACCTGAAAACTTACTTTTTTCGGGTCTATCTCCCATTTTAAACAGTTTAACTAAATTAGTCCACTCCAGATGTTATAACCGAAGTAACACAAAAACAATAGCCGTGCGGGCACTGAGCCGTTGGTACCAGTCTCTGTAAAATGAAGGCGCTCATTGCGCTATTCTGCCATCATCATGGTGTTAGTCATGAATTTGTGGTGAACCAAACCTACGCAACCTTCTTGGCCAACAATGGGCTATAACAGAAATATTTCCTTTTTTTTAATTTCAAAAACAAGACAAATAATTTCCTGGAAAAAGATTAAAGAAGAAATTATGAAAGCCAAGTTTGAATTAAAGTAAATTACTATTAATTGTAACATAATTAATAAGATATATATTTTTAGAATAAATAACCATCCCTTTTTTAGAAATGGCTAAGAGAAATAAAATTCCATATTTTGGATACTGACAACAAGCCATCAGCTCCTGATATATCTCCACTGGTCACTTGGAACATAGATTGCAACAGTCCAGAAATAACTACGAAAAAAAATGGCGTCATCATTGGAATATGGTATCATTTAATTTAATTGATCTTATTTCAAGTTTTTACCCTTAATATTAAAAAAAAAAAGTTTGAATATATCTGTTTTTATCATGAACAATTTTCTTTTTATGGTAAGGGATAATATATTTAAGATATTGTATTTATTTTAACTAGTAATCGTCAATCTTTATAATTTTAGTAGGTGTTTAATTAATAATATTTTCATATGCATGATATGGGTAAAACGACATAGTTCAATATGAATCTAAAAACGACGCAGTCTAAAAACATAATAAACGTTATAGCGATTAAAGTAAATAAGGGAAGGAAAAAGTGAAAAAATGAAAGGAGTGGTTCAATAAATATCNCTTAGTATTAAAAAAAAAAGATTTGAATATATTAAAAAAAATCACTATTTGACCGTTTATCATGAAAATTTTTCTTTTTATGTCAAAGAATAATATATTTAAAATATTGTATTTGTTTTAACTAGTAATCATCAAGCCTTATAATTTTAGTAGGTGTTTAATTATCATTTGCGTGATATGGGGAAAACGACATATTAATTCAATATGAATCTAAAAGCGATGCGGTCTAAAAACATAATAAATGTTATAGCGATTAAAGTAAATAAGGGAGTGAAAAAGTGAAGAGATGAAAGGAATGGCTCGATAAATATATTCATACATGGGAAATTATATAAACGATATCGTCCAATGTAAATCTAAAAGCATAAGTGCAAAAGCGAGTGAATAAAGGGATGGATGAGTGATAGAAATTAAGTCTATAAATGGAGTTGGTAAACGAATTTTTACATATCCGGAAAATGAGGTAAACGATAACTTCCGTTTGTATAATAGTGATAGAATAATTGAATGAAGGGCAAGTGAATGAATGAGTGGATAAATGAATGAGTCAAAGTGAATGAATGGGGAAGAAAGGGGGAGAATAATAAGTGAATAAACAAATCATCAAATCAAATCGAAGAATCAGTTTATAAATGAATAACAAATTTTAAAACTTTTAATTTGTAGTATAGCAGTCGATTTTTACTGGGAAATTTGCTGAATTTGTATCTTTTATGTTAGGGATGATAAAGATGAATTTAAGGATCTTGACAAAGTGAAGTGTTTCAACTGGGATGCTTCAGATCTCTTCAGCGATAAACCATCGCGATTGCTTTACATTTATTTAGAAGATTACAGACAATGCCCCAAAGACTATGTACTAACAGGTAGGGAATCATTTTTAAACGCTCCCACCATTTAAAGTTCTGGAACTTGATAGTATTTATTTTTTAGGTGGCACTGCATCTCTGTCGTATAAGAGACAAATTGTTGAATTACAGGAGGAAAAGTGCTGCAAAAAAAATCAATAAAAAATCTAAGCTTGTGTTATTTACTTCGAAAGTAGCACATTTATTTTATATGCTGAAAAAGAAATTCTTTTAATTCTCCTGATTAAAATTTACATAATTCAAAGGAGCATCTCATGTGTTTCGAGCTAGCATATTCCAGTAAATGTACGATGCTAATCCCTATCCGTTTTTCTCCTAAGTCACAAGTACAATTTTTGCGTTATTTTCCTCTAACATATTTATATAAACAAATGCACAACTTTCATCAAATATTCCTCTAACAGTTGTGCAATTTTTGTCAGATTTTTCCACTAACGCATGTTCACACTGTTGGAAATTTCTCGGCAAAAATGGTCAAATAGCAATTTGTTTAATTGTTATTTTACTATATTCAATCAAAACAGGTAAATAACCATAAAAAAAGGATGATATTCAAACTCAAAAAGTTAAAAAAAAAAGCGTTTACTGATAGTTTTTTTCCCCTAATACGGTTAAACGATCAGAATTTGATCCGCGTCAAACTAGCCATTTTGTTACGCCGTTGTACTGTACGCCATTTTGCTATGTGCAGCTTGTCACATACTGTAACTGAGAGGGCTAATAGGTCAATCTCATGACTCACTAAACAAGGGTTCGAATTCCACAGTTGATATTACAATATTTCTTCCATTTCTTCAGTAAACGAAAAGATTCCTGTGTCCTGCACACTTCAGTTGGTGATCCTGAACTATTAAAAACGAAACTGTCATTCATGCATAAATGGCGCGGTACCGACAAATCTCTAATGTCCGTTTTAGTTTAATTGTTATGGTTTTGAGACAATTCTAGCTGTAAATGTTTACAAAATCATATAGTTTTGTATTCACAGCTTTTTAACCGTACCAGTTGTAAACGGTTACAAAACTGTAAAACTAAAAAAATGTTCCTAACCATAAACTTTACGGTTAATCGGATGGGCGGACTGCTTCCGCCTATTTTACCGTAATTTCAGAATGAAAATTCTAATAGTGCAATTTTCTTGGAATTTTCTTTTAACCCATAGATGAGTTTTGTCGAATTTTGTGAATATTCCTCTGAATGTTCTCTTGTGTGAAATATATTTGTTGTTGAAATAATGTAATTACATGACTGAGATTCATTATCGATAAATTGCGCATGGTGCAATCAATATTTTTGGAACTAATTTATATTAATTGGAATTTCTCCCCCAGCTATCACTGCAAGTAATGCTGCATTTCGGAATGTGGACAACGGGAAATGTACTCCACTCAGAGAGGGTTACCATATAGATTACGAGCACTGTGTGACAGTTCAATCTGAAGGAAGAGACGGAGGTAGTATTGACAAATGGAGACCATGGAAAGTCCAGTGTCCAACTGCTGGACCTATGGTGGCTGTTTCATTACACAGAAGACGAAGGATACACACCGGACTCAAATGTTGCCTACTGATTGGACTAACACTAGAATAATAGTTATCATTAGGACCTTAACTGTTATTGATATTCTTTGCTTCTGTTCAAGAATTTTAGTTCTATAGTTAAAAGTGTAACCGAATTTCTAGTAATAAAGCTACAGAGAACCTTAACTGTTATTGATTTTCTTTTCTCCTGTTTAGGAATTTCTGTTCTATAGTTAAAAATGTGACCGAAATTCTAGTAATGAAGATATAGAGAAATATGAATTAGTCTAAAGTCATTTCAAAATTTTTTTCTTTGATTTTTTGTTTTGATTATCCAATTTCAACTAAGACTTTTAGATTTTTTTATATTAAAACTTTTTATTTGAAGATGAAATTGCTCACTCAGAAAAATTGGTTCCACTTTGACTCATAATTTCGGTTCCTGGAACCATTATTTCGGTATCTTGAATCATTATACCGAGTAAATTTGCTATATCCTTAATAAAGCGTTAAATTGAGCCATGTTTGCTTTACACTTGATCAAATTTAAGATTATTGATGATATGGTTCAATTTAGTCTCATGTTTAGGTTACCGAATAACCATGTTGTGGTTCAGCTTATTCTGAAATTCAAAATTTCTTGTCTTCGTGTGAGTCAAGAAAAATTCTATTACTTAGAAATGACTAAATACTAATTCTGTTCATATGACGTATACTTTAAAACATTAAAATAACGTGACTGAACGTTTCATCTCAGACATAACTGAAAATGCCAGTTTAACAAAATTGAAACAGCTCTAAATACACATTTGAAAATTAAACATAACGCAATCTCTCTCACTCTCTCTTTTTTAGAGAGAATGATCATAACGCAACATGTGCATTCAATAGAACTGTCATAACTCAAAATGTGTAAGAAAATGAACACAACTTGAAATGCGTGTTTGAAAAAAGAGACCTAACTTAAGGTATGTAGACATAACTTGAAATGCGTGACTTAAAAAATGGGCATAATTCTATACATATGTGAATTAAAGAGGATTTACATAACTAGAAATGCGTGTTTGAGAAATTGACATAACTCAATATGTGTATTTAAGAGAATTGGCATAACTTGAAATGTGTGTTTGACAAAATGGGCTCAGTTCAACATGCGCACGGGTGAGCTAAATTTTTAAACACCTTCATGACTGTTAAAAAAAAGGCCATACCTTATCTAAAGAAAAATTCGATTATATTTTTCTAGTTACACCTTAAATAGTCTGTAACTAATTAATTCTTTAGAAATGCAGTAGTCATAATAGTCGTTTAAATAATGGAATCATATTTAATTTTTATTTTCTTAAATTGCTAGTCCAATTACTTACATAACTTTGCCAATTTTTTAAAATAGCTCCATTTACTTAAATAGATTTACCCCATTTCCCAAAGCGCACATTTTGAGTTTTGTCTATTTTTTAAAAGCACATTTCATTCTGATGTCTATTTTCTTTCATATGCATTTTGAGCAAGACCTATTTTTTAAAAACATTTCAAGCTTTGTTTATTTTCTTTCAATACGCATTTTGATCAAGACTTATTTTTTAAAGCATTTCAAGCTTTGCTTATTTTTTCCAATGCGCATTTTGAGTTGCGTTTAAAGTAAAAATTTCGCAAACGATAAACTTCAAAACAGTCGCAACAATTTACGTTTGGCTGCTATATAATTATTATTAGATAATTATGCAAGCAACGCAATTTTTTATTCGTTTTAATTATTTTGGTTTCGTAACATTAAATTAAATTATTAATAGATAAATTAGTCTTAATGTTTCTAATTACAAATATCACTTAATCATTTCATTTATATTTTTCATAGCGAAATTCAGATTGAAAAGATTTTACATTTTCAATACATCTAAAGAAATTATAAAAAACGTTGTATAGGCCCATATAATAAGAATAATATTTCTAATTAAAATTTAAATTCTATTTATTATTCATCTTTATATTTTTTCTTGATGAAATATACATTTTAAAAGATCTCACGAACTTGTTATATCAATAGAAGTAATTAAAAACAAGCCCTTCCCTCCAAAATAATATAACTATTAAAAGAAATTCCGTGACTGAGTAATAATTATAGTGACTAATGATTATGAACAGCAATTATTTTTTGATTCTCAACAATTTGCGAGTAAAGATTTCATATCGTCCTTATTAAGAAATGATTTTATGTAATTCTATATATCAAAACGTCACACATATTAGTTTTCTTGTGAAGTTATTAAGATGCAAATATTTAATGAGTAGAAGATATAACATTGCTTAAATCACGAAAAAAACCCGTCATTTCCTCTTGGGTTGATTAATTTCCGTCTCCCACGTATTTCTTTTACGTTTTGTAATACTAAACCATATTCCCCACAACTAAGAGACTTTTGAGTAAGAAATTTAGTAAAGATTCCGGCTAAATTGTAGTATCAAATCACTTTCGATGCATTGAGCCTTCTAATTTTGCTTTCATTAAATTTAATTGTGCCTAATCCATCTTAGAAATGATTCTTTTATTTTGCAGCGAGTATAATTTATCATTTTAATTAACGTAGGTTGAATTTTATCTTAATTCTTCAAGGATTTTATGACTAAAATTTGCAACGTAGTATAATTTTTCTTTGTACAAAGATTTCCAAAAATGATTGATCACGCAATTTACGAAACGCGTTAAAAATATTGAAGGATGCAAGACTGTAGCACAATATATAAAATGAAAAGTACTCAAAAGATTTTGTACTCAAGAAGCAACTTTGAAAGATTTATTAATTTTTTAAAAATTAATTATAAAAATTTGTCTTATCTCGTTATTTATCTTTTGCTCAATTATGAGATAACTTAAACGTATTTTAAATATGTTTGTTAAAAACTTGAAGAATGAAATCAAGACGATTGAAAATTAAAATATTTAAAAGTTAAAAAAATTAAAAACTAAGCCACAATAAGTTTATTTCCTGATATCAAAATAAAATATTTAATATCAGTGATAAGAGTTACTTTACTTTCATAAATTTGGTGAAATATTACAGCGATAAAAGATAAAAAATAACTTCAGTTTTTATTTATTCGGAATAAATTTGGAATTTCATGAATTTAAAAAAATTACTATTAGTAATAACTGTTTAAACGTCATGAAGCAGACACTTGTTAATTTGATTAAGTTGGAGCATTACCCTTACTTTGAAGAAAAGGTGAAAAACAGTAAAATGATTTTGTTTTAAAAACTCTGCCATGTTATGTAAAATATGTCAAGCGAGATAAATGTCAGTTGAATGTAGACAGTTCATTTTATGAAATACACGTCAGAATAAAAATTTCCTCTCAGATAATTTATATAATACGAAAACAATTAATCCGTACAGATAAATTGTTTTTGCATAAATAATTATATAAAAACAAACATTAGAACAGCTATTTTTCAGCTGACGTTTAAAAGCACTTATAATGTAAGAGAAAGCTTTAACAGAGAAGAGTTTTTAAAAAATATTTTTAGAAACCTATTTGTAATGCGTGTCTTTACATTCAAAAAGACAGTTGGGTACCAGTCAGATTTTAATCGGTTTTCATTTTGGTAGTGGATGCCACTGTATATAGAGTTTTTAATGAACAATTTCAATCAAATGTAGGGGCTACTGTATGCAACGAATTCAAATAACTTCAATTGGAGATACCACTATATACAGAAAATCTATTCAACTATCTTAGTAAATTATAGGTGTGGACAGTAGATTCTATTTTACTCAGAAAAGATATTCAATAATTTTTGTCAAATGAGGATGTCATTGTAAAAGGAACTTATTCCATAATCTTAGTCAATTGTAGATACCACTACATACAAAAAATTCAGGGGACAATTTGTATCAAATGTGGCTGTTATTTTATAAAGAGATTTCAGTGTCAAACGTGGATACCACTGAATACCGAGAACTTACCGAACAATTTGAGTCAAACACGCATGTCATTATATACAGAAAATCAAGCATGGATGTCATTGCATATAGAAAATTTATTCAACAGCATCAGTCAAGCATGGATGCCACAGCATACAGAAAATTTATTCAACAATTTCAGTCCAACATGGATGACATTGCATATAGAAAATTTATTTAACAATTTCAATCAAGCATGGATGCCACACTATACAGAAAATTCATTCAACAATTTCAGTCCAACTAAGATGTCATTGCATATCGAAAATTTATTCAACAATTTCAGTCCAACATGGATGTAATTCTCTATGGAAACTTTATTCAACAATATCAGTCAAGCATGGATGCCACAGTATACAGAGAACTAATTGCACAATTAGCTCCTTTAATAGCAATGGATTAACAAGATCGTTGATTCCACCAAGGGTGCTTAACGTGCCATATAAGGATAATTGAACAATATACGCTTTGGAGATAGATCGTCTCATCGTAAGAAATCTTAAGAAACACATCGCATTCCTGATTTAGCGATCTAAAAAAATCAGGATGTCCAACAAAAACAGTCCACCATGGATGTCATTGCATATAGAAAATTTATTTAACAATTTCAATCAAGCATGGATGCCACACTATACAGAAAATTCATTCAACAATTTCAGTCCAACAAAGATGTCATTGCATACTGAAAATTTATTAAACAATTTCAGTCCCACATGGATGTCATTGCATATGGAAACTTTATTCAACAATATCAGTCAATCATAGATGTCACAGTATACAGAGAACTAATTGCACAATTAGTTCCTTTAATAGCAATGGATTAACAAGATCGTTGATTCCACCAAGGCTACATAACATGCCATATAAGGATAATTGAACAATATACGTTTTGGCGATAGATCATCTCATCGTAGGAAATCTTTAGAAACACATCGTATTCCTGATTTAGCGATCTAAAAAATTTTCTGTCGAAAATTTAACATACTAAATGTGTATAAACAATCTTTTAACTGATGATCTAGAAATTTCTATTACTTAAAATACAAAGGAAGTTACTTCCAACATCTTGAAACGTGCTTTTAAAAACATGGATAATGAAATCTGCATTTCAACAAAAAAGAGAGGGATTTTAAGCACGATAATTATTAAGTACAGCCTCTTGTGCCATGCTAACAGTATATATCACCAATATATAATCAAAATAAACGTTTAAAAATTCTTGTTAATTTATGTGTTCTCGGTAGCGGAACTGCAATTGAGCAATCTGAATGTTCCAATTTAGAATATGTAGAACTTTTGAAAAACCCTTACTCATTATATAACTGTGTGATGTCTGCAAAATATGTAATTTTCAATTTAGATTTCTTCCTTAAGAAGACGTCTGGTGACAAGTTTCACGCAGTATGCGTGTTGAAGTTAGAAATAAAAGGTTTTTGACATAAAAGTTTGTTCTCACAATCTCTATTGAATTCAAAATACCTCATTAGGCGTTGATAGGAAGACTTTAAATAATTTCCTCACGTTTTATTCAAACATTTAAATTGTGTTTGTCTGATGACTCAAGAAAAGATTAGAATTTTACTTCGCAGCTAAAAAAATAATCTTAGACATCAAATATAAAAAATTTCGGCATAAAATCTTAGCATAAAAATTTAAAATAAAATTTTCAATCGAAAGATTTTGTAATGTTCTTATAAAATCCTTTAATATTAATTTTTAATATTAATAATTTTTAACTATTTATTACTGTTTTATAGCAGATTTGGAACTAAAGATCTAGTTTCTAATACTATTGGGATAAAATTTAAACCTAATCAATTTGCTCAGTTTCTATTGCAACTTTTATAAACTAGTTGTTTATTTTTAATTTTTAATTTTTAGTCATTCTAAAAGCTCATTAATTTTTTTTTGCTTGAGAGATTATGTAGCATTAGCGTAGTCAATTCTTAATATTGATTGAGAATTTCCAATAGTTATATTGTGTTCATTATTTTAATTCAGTACGTTGACTAAACACACCTTTACATATAATTTATAATGAAAGTAAATTTAATGTATTAGAAAGTAAATGTAATGTATTTAGAAAGTAAATGTAACTTATTTACCGTTTAATATATGAAAAACGGGAACAAAATATTTTTGTCATAAAATCGTGTTATGCTTAGTCTAATAACGCAGAGCCTAATAACTTAATAACGGAAGAGCAACAAATAATATGAATAAATAAAAATTTGAAACTATTTTAACTTTATTTACTTTTAATTTTACCCCATACATGGAACGGGTATTCAAATTGTAAAAAATAAAAATTAACTCTTCACTACGTTATTATGATTTTATTTTATTGAAGTTTTTAAAAAAAAATATTTAGAAGTTTTAGTTACTTCATGGTCTGCATTATTTTACCACTCCATATAAGGGCCAGATATAATTTTATTGATATCGATACATAACTTTTGATTGAAATAAATATATTATCCTTTTTTTTTAACATTAATTTTGAACTCTCTGCTACAATGTTGTGAAATTTACTAAATTTTTTGAAACTTTATTTAAAATTTATAGTTACTATAAACTACAAAATGAGGAACTATTATTTTATTGATAATAGAAAGATATATAATTTTTGGTTGTAACTTCACTCTCCAATACGCTACTGTAATATTGACTAATCACTCTATATAATGTCACTACATATTGACTAATCACTCTGTATTTAATCACTCTATATAATGTTCATCTATTTGAATACCGACTGAGTAAAATAAATGGATGAATAAATAATTGAGAAAAAAAATCACAACAGAAAATTCTATTCCTTTCATAATAAATCTCATATCGTTTGTAAATTAAAAAAAAATAGTTATAAAATTTAAACAAAAAATAAAAAGTGGTTACTTTTCCAGCAGGAAATTAACAAAATTATTTTAAAGATTCTAAATAAATTGAAATTTAACTCTCAATATTACATTAAAAAGTTTTTTGTTTACGAAAACTCAGTAAGTAGAGCGATTTGTAAAGTACACAATAATGATTTTTCTGCAGTTTTATCTTTTTTGCAACCTTCAAAATGAATCGAAATGATAAAATCAAATCTTTTCTCTGAGAAATTTAACATATGCTTGAGTTAGAAAACAATGTATAAAATCTATTCGAAATTAACAAATGGTTTCACCCGTTTAAGCAATATGTTGAGGCTCTTCGTTTTATCCCTGTCCATAGCCATAGTGTGGGGACACGCCGCACTTTATGAACCGCCCGGAAGATCTTCCGCGTGGAGATTTGGATTTAAAACCCCAAGAAATGACGATGATGCTGAAATTTATTGCGGAGGGATAACAGTAAGATTATTTGATTCATAAAACTTTTGAAACATTCGAACTTTTCTTCACTATTTATATTTTGCAATATTATTTATCTTCTTTGATATTCCTCATTGGAGAATGGAGAGCTGTTTTAGGTTTTTCATATCCACACACTTTTTCGACTAGATCAATCAACTTCTACACAATCAAAAATAAAGTGCGTAAGAGTCATAAAAAAATCTGGCTAACATAAGCATTAATAATAATAATAAGAATAATTAAAAAACAGCTCAACAAGATCAAATGCAAAATGCAGATGATATTTTAGAAACTTTTTGGAGTTGATTATTTTCCAGACTAAGTTTGTTTTTCTTTTAATTTTTATCAGCGTATATTTTTTAATGTTTTTCCGTAATATTAATTTGAAGTACATAGACTTCTATTTAAATAACTTCCATTTTGCGATTTATTTTGAGAAACCAAGAATATTTTGGAAATTTCTTCGTAAAATAACTTCCAAATAGCTAAATGAATTTTCTATTTAACGAACTTTTCTTTAAGATCCACTTTCCACATTTCCTAAAATATTTATGCCATAACAGAATACCATTCTGTTCTAAACCATAACAGAAATTTCTGAAACATGGAACTATGATGTAACAGATCGTACTATTCGTAACAGTTTTGCTACGAATGGAATTCGTTGAATGGAAGGAGCAGCTGCTCCTTCCATTCCTTCGAGAAAGTGGTCAACATCTGTAGACTTAGAGTACCAGAAAACACGGGATAAATTGGGGTAGGTCTAAGTTACATGGCCAGTTTGGACATCTTTGATATTTAATATATTGCAGCAGAAACAGTTTCGCATTAAAGAGTTTAACTTGTTTATCAATTTAGACAACGCATTGTTTTTTGTGACTGAAAAAAATTTGTACAATTTTAATGGTGATTTTATTTAGGGGTCGAATATTTTTGTGAAGTAGTTATCTTGTTGATTTCAATACGTAGGTTTTATATATTTTTTTAACTAGCTGAACCTTTAAGGGACATGACTAGGTCCTGTAGATAGATTTATCTATGTTCCTGAACATAGGGACATAGTCTATCTACGTCCAATCTATGTTCCTGAGTAAAAAAAAAAGGAATATAATGGCGGAGTGACACCGTGATAAATTCGGCGGCCATATCTCATCTTTAGGAGAGATCTACTCCATTATATATTATAAGATTCTACAAACTCAGAATTTGATGAATATCAGTGGGAAAGCTGTGGAGAAGAATAACAATGCCACAATTAAAAATGTTGATTGGACATGATGTGTAAGTTGCATACAGTGACTCCATGATGAAATATGTTCAAACTTTGAAAACCTTTGCCAAAAAAGTGATTAAGGTTTTTCGAAAATGATGACTTAAATTTACACTTTTGAGTTGTTTATTAGATTCTTTTGACTTAAACTCCAAGATAAAATTCATTTATTACAACTTATAGAAAATTCTTTATGGTTAGCTGCATTCTACATTTTGACTTCACTTTTCTTTTACTGCCAATTCACTTTGACATTAAGGAGTAATGACCACTTGTAAATTTGTTCTCAGCAAATGTTTTTCAGATTTTGTTCTAAATATTTTATTAATTTTTTCTCAAAATTTGCTGAACACATGTGCGAAAACTTGAAATATTCGTGAACATTTCTTGTGTTACTATTCTTAGCACTTTTATTTAGATATGGAAAACCATTACTATCTATAGGCTTACCCCTTTTATTTAATTTTTGAAAAAATCAGTTCAATATTGAATTTCTTTGTTATGAAACATTCAAGTTAAATTACATTCAAATTAAATCTTATCGTTGCTAAACAAGTTTAAAAAATAATTTTATATCATTCAATTTGGCATCATATTATGGTTTAACTTCTTCCAATACTTCGAACTGTGTAGTAGCGACTGATTCAGCTATTGTATCAATTAACCATTCAGTTAAGTGAAAAATGTTAAATTTTTTTAAAAAAAATTTTCACATTTTTTTTTTGCTTTTATATCGATTTAGATTCGATTAATTTTAACTACTATCTGTTCCAGACATAGGAAGCGCTCCGGTGGCGCAGTTGGTTAGGGAGTAGCTCACACTGCTGATGGGGAACTGCTGATGGGGAACTGATGGGTGAAGTTGATTTCGGCAGTCAAATACGCAACCTGCGCATAATGCATCTAACTGTACGCTAAATCCTTTGTGGCTGTCCTTTCATCGGTTGTAAAGTTCAGAGAGAGGGGTACCATCTCAGGTGCTGTTTACTTCGTCTGACCAAAGTTAAAATTAAGCGGCATTCCTACCATGGATGTTAAAAAGATAGAACCCTGAAAACCAGCTCAAGGTTCTAGGTCACGTTAGGTGTTGTGTGTCCAGACATGTGTATGGGGTCGAAATGATTGCAATCTGTTCGTAATAAAGACGATTTTTCAAGAAAAAAACTTAAAATGTTCTTATATCATAAGTGTCAGCTAAAAAACTATTAAGTTTCAAAATATTTCTTGTGCTAAATTTTTAATTACTTAAATTTCCATAAGTATTAAAAGTTGGAGTGTTATGTAATAAGTTCTCCAGTAGTTCAATTAATGAATCTTACTACAGGAGTACTTAAACTGTAAATCTATCACTATTATAATTCAATTCTTTTGCCTGGTTTGACCCGTTTATTAAAACGTTGCTGATTTAACTCATTAAGACACAAATTAGGGTAAAAATACTAAGTTCTGTTCTAAGTTTCCCAAAAGTTTAATCAGTTTTTCTCACTTTGGGAGTGTTTTAAATATTTAAACCTATAAATTTGTCACTTATATGTGAAAAATATGCGTCATCTTTTTGCTTGGTTTAACCGATGCATTAAAACAGATGATTAGGTTAAAAAAAATCACGAATTTAGAGGCTTAGTCATGGTTAAACGGCGTTTTACAATTCTGATAACGAAATCTATTGTTTCATCCAGTTAATTAGTTTTATTGTTAAGTTAATTTATATGTTTTACCAAACCCATAACTACTTTTACAAAAACTATGTCCTTTTTTAAACAATGTTTAATACACCAAATATTTAGCAGTTGAGATCTTTTAAGTAAAAATGAAGTTATGCAATCATGAATACTTTAGTAACTAAATCAATTCACCGAAGCCATTTAAAAAATGTTTCAAGTTGTTCAATTATGATTATATATTTTAGAAACTATGGAGAACCCACAAAGGTAAATGCGGCATTTGTGGAGATGCCTGGGACTTGAAAGAACCAAGGCCAAATGAAGATGGTGGTAAATATGGTAAAGGAGTCGTAGTGAGGACATACAAATCAGGCCAAGAAATCGACGTCAGGATATTTATTGTCGCCAATCATGAAGGCTATTTTGAATTCAAACTCTGCCCCGAGCAAGATGGCGTTAGGGCTGACCAAGCATGCTTAGATAAACATCCTATAGCTATGGCTGATGGTTCGGGTTACCGTTATACTTTGCCTGGAAATAAAAAGGGCAATCTGGATCTGAAATTGAAATTGCCAGATGGTTTCACGTGTGAAAGATGCGTTTTACAATTTCACTGGAAATGCGGTAATTATTTTATAAGTATATTAGTTAGTTTTAAATGGATAAAAAATCTGATGGGACAATCAGTAAACGTAATACATAATTTGATTTAGAGATCACATTTAAGACTATAAGCTTTAGTACTTATAAGTTTAGAAAACCACTCAAGATTTGCTAGTTGATTAACGTTCAGCCGTGGTGACTCCGGAGATAGAGCGCTCTCCTCCTAATCAGGTGACTCAGGTTCGAATTTCAACCGAGGCTGGTTGATACGAATTCTACTCTGACCACAGTGCTGACGTAAAATATCCTCAGTGGTAGACAGATCATGCGTTAGAATCCCCTTGCTATGGAGCTAACAGTGGGAGGTTTTCCTCTCCATGTAACGCAAATGCGAGTTAGTTCCATCAAAACGTCCTCCATGACGGCAAAAATTTCTTCCAATGCTTGATCCATGAGTTTCCTTGCCTTCTGGGCTGCGTTCAAAATTACAAGGCTACGGAGTTGAACATCGATAGTTGTTAACTCAGAAATGAGTCGGTGTTCAAAGACGGTTGTAAAATAGAAGTTAATAAAAAATGATTAGTAATAATACAGTTTTTCGTGGAAACTTTTTTTCCTTTCTTTTTTTTGAACACCAAAATGCTCCACCCCTTCTCACTTTGCTTATCAACTTCCATTTGAAAACCAAAATTTATTTAATTTGATATGTTTCATTTTATTGTTACTTATGACAAAATAAGGTTCACCTCCTTGTTTTCTGCAATTTTTTATTTAATTTAGAGAGCAATTACTGATGTAAAAACAAAAACTTGGTGTCAAGTACACTAACAAGTACAAAACTGCATTTTTCTGGCTTGTAAAGTGGCCCGTCTGGCATTTTTTACTAGAAACTTTTCAGCTGACGGCTTTTTAATATGGAGGGAAATATATTTTTATTTTACTGCATCAAAGTCAGAAACTTTGAAAACTGAGATAGGTTGAAATTAAGTAAAAAATATAACGTTTAAGAGTTATTTATTTGCGATTTTGTTTACATCATCGATATTAATTTGAAATTAAATTAAATGTCGGTATTAACTTAAATTTCACTCCAGAAAATGTTGTTTAATACGCAAAGTTATTAAAAGTGGTAGTGACTATTAATTCGAGGACCTACAGATATCATTTTCATACTTTGCAATTTCACTTTAGTAGTCAGAACTAATTTTATGAATTTAAAAATGTATTGCCCAGGTTTTAAGACTTTGCAAAAAGTACAAGTGAAAGTAAAAAATTAATTTAAGTCTTATAGCTTTAATTAAATAACAAAGAAAATTCCTTTGAGTTTTAAAAAATTTTCTTACTACGTAGTTTTTTATACAAATATTTAAAAATAAACGAATATTATGACTAAAAAAAAATAAAATTCTAATACTATGAATTTAAAATTATATCCTTAAAGTGAGAAAGTTACAATCATAGAAAAGTATACATAATGAAAATTATTTTATTACCTGAGTTGAAGTTCCGATCCATATAAAATTAGCGGCTACTATATATTGTACTCTTCATTCCATCCCAAGAAATGACAGAAATTTCGGGCTAAGACTAAATTTATTTTGTACAAAGCTTTCTTAATGAAAACTAACCAGCTTTTGCGCTTCACAGTGGGAAAACCACGAAAACATTTTACTGTTAGGATGATGACCTCGAGATCATTACATGGATTCGAATCTGTGTAACCTCATTAGAAAGTGAGAGCTCTATCTCTGAGCCTCAAAATATTTTGATAGTTATTCAACAAAATATTACTCCTTATATTTATATTATATTGTATAAAATTGTGTTAGGCTTAACAATTTTGAATGCAGAGATTTTTTAGACTAAGTTGTTGGTTGCTAAAAAAAAAATGAAAAATGGGAAATACTAATATATAATTTTAAAAAGAAATATTTGTATAATAGACATAATTTTTTATTATTTTCAAACCTGATGTGATTATCAATTCAATTTTTCAGCCAATAACTGGGGAATTTGTGAAGATGGCAAAGGACGAATGGGTTGCGGACCTCAAGAATATTTCCGAGGATGTGCTGATGTAAAAATTGTGTAATTTAGTTTGGAATTAAAAAAAAATAAAATATATGAATTTTTTATCAGCATTGCAATTTTGTTACTTTATTTTAAAATGGGGTCCAGGGGATAATTTGTTTCACAGCAAGCTCTATATGTTAATTTGGTTGAAAGCAAGTTATAGATGTTAATTCAGTTCAAAACAAATTCAAGATGTTATTATAAAGCAAGTTTCAGATGTCAGTTTATTTAAGAACAAGCTCCATGTGTTTACTTAATTGAAAACTAGATTTAGACGTTAATTTATTGGATAACAAGCTTCGGATGTTAATTTATTTTACAACCATCAGATGCTAATTTATTTAAAACTTAGCTTCAGATGTTAATTTATTTAAAAACTGTTGCAAATTATTTAATTTCAGAAGATAGTAACTAAATTTAGGCATTAATTTATTCCCGGATTAAAACAAATCGAAGTACTCTGGTGGTTTTTGTTATTTATTACGTTTTACTACCTCGATTTCGAGTATGTTTAAGGGAACGAAATATTACATTCAAAATTTCGACTGCTTTTTGCCAGACCAAAGTGTTAAAGACTCAAGCTCTGTGTCGTGAAAAAATAATTATTCCTTAAAAAGATTTTATCGTTTCCTGATTGTCAGAAGCTTGTTTTATCACCAAATAGAATTTATCACCAATCGAAACTTCCACCTCTTTCCGATTAAACAATAAATTCCTACTTCATCAGGATGCTATGTGTCTGGGGAAAAAACAGTTGAAATTGCTTCCTGGCCTTTTAAAAGTAGAATTTAAGGTAGTTTTATTCAGCGAAATCCCGACAGCTCTCTGTCATAAAAAAAATGCCAAATATGAAACTTAAATGAAGAAATTTAAAAAAAAATGTTCATGAAGGGAATTAAAAGGGTAGGGTCACTAAGTAATAAATTCCTACTGTGGCCTAACTCCCTTTAGAAGAAAAAAAAACACATTAATTGTGATTTTATATTTAGTGTAAGATAAGCACTATATTAAAGAAGTTTTTAGTAGCTTAAGATGAATTTCTCGAAGTGATTCTTCAATGAGATAAAAAGTTACATGTATATCGTCATGGGTTATCCACTTATTATAAATACAATGCAATAAACAATTATATTTCTTTTGGTGCAATTAAAATTTATCATTTAGTGAAATAAAAAACTCTGAAGAGGAAGTTCTTAGTAACTTAACCGGGCTTCAATGTGATAAAGAATTGAATTTATATTGTTGTGATGAAAAACGTATTCATTAAATTAGAAAGTTAAAAGTTAGTTTAGTTTAATAAAATAAAAATAAACTGTTTGATTCTGTGGTTTTGGTTTAAAAACAGTATAATTTACTGCTTGGTTTTATATTGTCGTTGGTTATCCACTTAATGTAAATACAGTGTAATAAATAATTATATTTCTTTTGGTGTAATTAAAATTTAAATACAAAACTCAGAGGAGGAAATTCTTTGTAACTTAACCAGAATTCAACTGTTAGCTTCAATGTGATAAAGCATTGATATATCGTTGTGATGGAAAGCGTATTCAGTCATTTAGGAAGATAAAAACTTACTGTTTGGTTTGATAAAAAATAATTGGACTAAGATGAGATAAAAATACATTATTAATTGATAAAAGTACTGTAAACGGTGAATATTTTAATAATTTAATCTTAAATTTTTGATTTTTTCCCTTCTTCATTAAAATAAAACATTACATTTGTATCACTGTTATAAAGAGCTAATTCCTTAATTTCGTAGGGTAGGACAGAAAAATATTTTTCGGTGAGATAAAAAAGTGTATTTAGTTTGGTGTGATTGAAATGTAATGATGGAAAAGTATATTTATTTTCATGCACTTTAAGATATATGTTTTTAAAAGTGTTCAGCTATATATAATATGCACTGACAATTATTGATTAAGAAAAACATTTCAAATTTAATAAAGTAAAATGCTATTTTAATTTTAAGTTATTAAATTAAATATATATTTGATATTAAAGCATTTAAAGCTTAAAAAACAATATACCTGATAATGAATCGTTTTTTATATCATTCAAACTCTTACATGCACAACTTTTAAATCATAATAATATACATATTTTTTAAGTATCAGATTTTTTTCTGCGAAAGAGTTATTTAACAATTATTTCACTTCACCCCTATTTTTTTACACATTTATAAAAATGAAAATATATTGATTAAGGAAAAAAAGTGTGTATGTGGATATAACAGGCATTAAATGTTTCAACAATAGCTTGTTAGCAATAGTATTTTAAATTAAAGAAATAAAATGCTTCAATTTTTTCCCTTAATTAACTCTTTTTATATATCTCTTAAACTCTTTTTATATACTCTTTTTATATAAAAGTTTAATATATATATTTGTTACTAAAACATTTTAAGTGAAGAAAATAAGTGATTATAAATCATTTTTCTTTTATCTCCTTTAAACACTAATGCAGAAACATGTTTAAGTTATAATAAAATATAATTACATTTGTAAGATTTTATTTTTTTCCGAAAAAAAATCTTTTTTTATTTAATCCTTACTTTATTTCATTATCATGATTTTTCACATTTTGAAAAATGTGAATGTTGTGGATAATACTAATGAACAATCCTCCTCTCCATCCGGAATTGCGGAAACCGGTTTCATCAAGTATTTGAGAAATAACCTATTCTGATTGGCGTAAACCCGAATCACTTGTCGCTTTTTTAAAGAGAATAAAATAAAAATAAAAAATACGAGAGAGAAATCAGAAGCGCCTCGTTAAAAGATCTTTCAAGATCATCTTTTTCATCCCACTCAACCACTGAAGATCTTCGAACTTGGCGACAAGGATTTTATTCGAGTGAGTTTTTTAATCAACTATCTGAATTTTCTGTAAGGGTATTTTAAATTTCAAAATGTAGTCTAAATGCAAGAATGTAGAGTTAGTTTTCAAAATATTATTTTGTTATAATTATGCAGGTTTACATAGATAAACGTTTATTTCAATTGAGAAATATATTTAATAAAAGTAACGCAATGTACTATCGGTTTTATGAAGTTTGACCCTTTGATGCAGATGGAATACGATTGTCCCTTATAAATTTTTTTCTCTGAAACTCTAACTGCAAGTAAAAAAAAATTTGCATTTTTTAATTATAAAAAAAAACAGTCTAATAGTTACTAAAAAATATCGGAATTATAGTTGTATCGGAACTATATATCTGTATTATCGGAATTATATTTGCACTAAAATGTAAAATCCCAAAAAAGTAGTCTGAAATTTTTTTCCCATTCATATTCAAAAATTTATCATGATTTGTAAATCAAAGCAATTTCAAAGATGAATACCTGTTTATCGAAATTTTCCTATTTTTTTTTACTAACTTCTTTTATAGCTTTGTATGATTTTGTTATTTTAAACGCTTAACCCTTTGATGCAGATGGCACACTGGTGTACTTTTATATATTTTTTATTGACGCTTTAATTCCAAGCAGAAATATATTTTGATATTTTATAATTATAAAAAACATTCTAATTGTTACTAAAATGGGACTGTTCGATTATCGGAATGATATTTGTATTGAAATATAAAATTAAAAGAAACTAGTTTGAATAATTTTTTCATTCCTTTTCAAAAATTTAGCAATAGTTGATTTTGTAAATTAAATAAATTTCAATGATGAATAACTTCTTTCTCGATTAGATCTAAATAACAGAGAATAAGTGAAAATTGTAAAAATTATCTAGTAAAGGGCCGTATAAATTTTTTTAAACCTTGAACGCTGATAAAGGCCCCAGTATTTCATGCTGTATTTTGTAACCATAAATTATGAAAGTGCTAAATAAAATATTTTTCTTTTATTTTGACATAAATTAATACAAAATAATAAAAAAAAGTGTAAAAAGTATGTTCAATGAAAATTCTGCGTAGAAAGGGTAAAAGGAAAGCGTATCTTTAGTAAGTAAATTTATCTTTAAGAAAGCATAAAACTAATTATAATTTAAATTAATTAAGGAAAAAAACTAGTGCATAGGCCATTAAAATAAGGTTTCCTCGTGGTGAAAATTTCCGGATCAAATTATGGTAAAAAGTACCGACATTCAAGGGTTCCAGTGCTTTTAGGTAAAAACCATTTCTACCGTAAAGTTTTACGGAATAATAAAACTGATGTACCGTAATTTTTACAGTAAAATCATGGAAAGTAGGTTTTTGTGTCTGATTTTTTAACTTAAAATATTGTTTGCGCTAGTTAATTAACATATTTGAGGTCACTCCGTCCTACCATTAAGATTGAATCCTAGAACATATAGATCCGATCATTAGATCAAAAGTCATTCGGGGAGGTCCATTTTTTCGCACACTGTACATAAGTTAATCACAATAAATTACTAATAATATGGATTTTCTGACTAGTAATTGTTTTATAGTTAATTATTACAAAGGCACGTGAAAATTAATAATATCTGTTGAAATACGTGTGTTTTTTTATCACTGATAGAACTTATAACAAATTCTTTTAAGTTTTACGAAATTGTGATAAATTTTTAGCTTTTTAAGAAAAAGTGTGATTCGAAAAAAATATGGAACTAAATTATTATTTAATTTTAGATATAAAAAAAGAAACTTATACTAGATAAATAGAAAAAATACGAAGTGAGTTATGAATATGATTTAAATTTCAATTATTATTTTAAAAATATGTACTTTTCAATTGTTTATTGCATGCATTATATACTATAAAATATTTTATAAATCACCAAAGGTTAAGAATCTTATAATACTGCTTTTCTATATACATGCTGGGCCTACTTCCCTTTTTACACGATCTTTAATATTTATTTTATAGTTTTATTTTAATATAAGGCATTTTTAAACAATCTCTTTCCAAAGTATTTATTATAAGTATTTATTTTCAAGTTTTGAAAACTCTTATAAGCCTATTTTTAATTTTCTTTAACGTTCCTTTCACCTCTGTACGTAATTTGCATACAATTGTTAATTTGCATGCGTGCATACATATGCACAACATTTAGAAACAGTTCAAATAGTTTTAAATGTTGTATC